ATCATATGGGAATGTAAATTAATTCATGACTAGGAAAAGGCAATGTTGGCATGATTGTCTCATATTTTAGATGCCACCTCTGAATGCCAGATCATAAAATAAGTCAAGCTCTAATCTATTTTCTTACATTCATGTGGTCAGTCTGGGATGTCAACATCCTTGGGATTCCAGCCTAAAATTTATGTACTAAAATGGTGCTTCTATGACTTAGATTCATTCTTCCAAGAAGTAAAAGGTTCTTAAAGCATACCTAATTCTACCCTTGAAGAACACAAAACGGGTATGACTTATCCAAGTTCAACCAACAACCTCTGGGTCATGTTGGGATTGAAATTCTAGGAATTCCCAACTCCTGCTGCTTTCCTCCACACTCTGCTGCCTGTGACCTTGGAAAATCAATGAGAGGTCACAGGAATGAAGGTCCGAATCCCTCGTCATTAGTCTGCCGAGATAACCTTTTAGTCTTGTTTTTGTTCATCTGCTATTACTGCTTAGATATATCTAAAAAAGGCCTCTTGCCCTCTCTGAACAAAAGTACCCATCAAGGCTTATAACTTGAAGCATATTATGATAATCATCTTAGTTGTAGAGACTGATATTCAAAAGCAACTTCTCATGAAAGGAACAATACTTAATCCACATGGGGAAAGATATTTTTAAATTCCCTGTAGGATTCTGTATTTGCAGATACCTTATCAGAAAGTTGAAAGGGTTTCAGGATAGGGAATTATCTCTAAATTTATACTTGAGAATCTAAATTGCATATAAACTAATGGGACTAAAACTATTTGATCTTTTAATATTTAATTAATGGTTCCCCATGGCCTTTTTATAGACTGTGTTCTATTGTAAGCACCGAGACTTTAATAAGCAGGTTCAGGACTTCCATTGTGTAGCAAGATGTCATTGCTTCCATGACACTAATTTGGCTTTCATACTCTCTGCCTTCCCCCTCTTATCTTGCTCTAGGGTTCCCTGTGTCTTGCTCTCACATTTGGGACAACTGCATTTATTAGTTATATTAGTATAGCCTATGTGAGCTTCTTTTTAGTTGAGAAAATAGATCTCTCACAGGGCGAAAGGCTTGTCAACTTCCCTCCTTCTGCTAAAATTCCTTGAGGATTGTGATAAAGGAGCTTTAACAGCAGACACTTAACAATAATACAGTACAAAGATACAATATCTTCATTTTCAGAAAAAGGCAAATTTTCATGGACATTGCAAATTGTAGTTGATGTAGTTTTGTGTTATGCGCATCTATGTGCTCATTGCCAAGCTGAACTCTCTGGCTGTGACAGCACACACAAGAGAAACCTGATTGTTTACACACATTGTTCTTTATTACCCCCTCCTTGGGACTCATAACTTAGGAGAAAGAAAACTAGCAGGGACAAGGTATTGCTTGTGTGAAACTGAACCCTTCTGTCTTGCTCAAACAAGTTCAAAGAAGTGGATAGGTACACATGTCTTAGAAATTCCAGCAAGGAAGAGAATTTGGCATGGTGGTCTAGGTGCTACTTGAGATGTGCACATCGGATTGCTTAGGTTCATGTCTCAGCTCTACTCCTGATTCTAGTTTCCTGCTAAAGTGCATCATGGGAGGCAGCAAATGATGGTCCATGTAAACACTAGGTTTCTCTGCCACTCCATGTGGGAAGCCTGGATTGAGTTTTGGGCTCCTGATTTTGGCCTGGCCTAACCTTGGCCGATGTGGATACATAGGGAGTAAACCAGTGGATGCAAGATGTCTCTCTCTCTGACTCTCTGTTTCTCTTTCAAATATATAAAATCGGTAAAATGATTATTTTTAAAAAGAAACTGACACAAATTCAACAGTTGGTCTTGCCAGAAACAACTTAGTGATAGACACTAAAGTACATATGCCTTAATCAATGTCAGGTGATATGGTCATGTTTTTCCATCATGTTTTCCTGTTTTTCTTAGGGTGCAGGGAGTCTCAAAGATAACTACTCAATGGCAGTAACCAGTTGATCCACCTATTCTGATATGATTGTCACCCTTCTACTTAATATTACCAATGTGAATGATGGTAAATCTTTTAAATTATTTCACATAAATATTTCATGGCAACTGACAATAACTCTGTGATAGCTATTATTATTTCACCCACCCAACAAGCAGCAACTTGATGTATAATGACTTAAATACCGTGAACACTGTTAAAAGCTGAGATTTAAAACTTGATGTCCTGAGTGCAAAGTGTTTGCGCACTTTCTTTTGTTTCCATTGGTAAGTGGCTAAAGTTAATCTGTTAATGCAAGAAGTAATAATAAAATGTATGAGAGTGTATTTCTATACTGAAGTACACTACTTGAAAGCTTACTGATGGATCTCCAGAGGTTACCATTCCATTCTGTGAGGAACACGCTTTATTTTCAGTGTTTACATTTAAAAAAAATATGCAACAAAAGATCACTTCCACCATCTGTTTCTGTCACTTTCTTTCCCAACCTGTAGGATAGCACTGGGAGTAGTTTCTATATATCCTTCCAGAATCATAGAATCGATTCTGCAGACCTAAGTAAGCGTTGATATCTGTTCTTATCCCTCTCACCCCAACACAGAAGGTGAAATATTTTTCTCTATGCTAATTATCTTTTTTCTTTCATTTGATAACATATTTTTAAATTATTTAATGTTAGCACAAGTTTCTTTTTTTTTAAACCATCATATTGCGTTATGTGAATGTACTTGATGACACATCCAACAACCTGCTTTCTTATCTTACAAATGCGTGCTATTCCATAAACAAGGCTGCAAAGAATACTTCATTCATGTGTCAGGTTACACAAGCAAGAATTTCTGAAGGGTAGCTATACTGTGGTGGACTGTATGGATTAAACGCTAGGTCATTTTTCATTCCCATAGATCTTTTTACCCATTGCTTTCCATAGGAAAGATAAGTAGGATTTGAAAATTGTATTATTATGCTTCTCATTGTGTATTTTTTCCAGTATAAAAGCATTCAACAAAATGCTTATTTTAGAACTATTGTACTATTCTCTAACTCCATTTACATTATTTTCTTATGAAAATTATTTGTCTCGTTACTGAATTGTATTTGTTAGTGCCAAAAGTATGAGATTACAGGAACAAGAATAGAAAACGTATTTGTGTTGTATTGGGAAAAAGGGCATAATTCTTTTTAGAGAACCTTGATTAGTAGACCTGGTACAGTCAGACTAACAAGGAGATGAAGTTAGATGAAACAAGAATTGTCACGGGATCACAGGGAGCTTCTCTGAACCAGAAATTCAAGTACATTGACTGTTGTCCAGGAAGGTCTAATAGGCTTACAGTGTTTTATCAGCTGCCTGACAACTGTTTCATCGGTAGCAGAGAATGATAGAATCAGGAATCAGTCCACTGCCCACCATTCCAAGAGGAAACTCATTGGAAGGATAGGTGCAGAATCTGTTGATGCTATGATCACATTCCCTCGATCCTCACTACATTTTGGTTATCAACTTAGGAAATTTTGGCTTAGACCAATCAATTGTTCTATAAATAAGGAGAGAGAGGCCCCAAAAGGTTTACAGTTTCAAAATGAATTCATGATTGATGTGTAATACACACCCAGGACACTGCATTCTGTTGGAAATTTGCCCTATCCATTTCCTGGATGAATTGGCTGAGTAGAATGGACTGGCGACATGAGAGCTGAGTAGGTAAAGCACGCATCCATTTGCCCTCAGCTCATTTGAAGTAACTGCACTCCTTTTATTTTTCTCCTATGTAGATATGTATGTAGCATTTTTCTTAACAAATAGGCACTAGTACTCAAATGTTTCATAGCTTTTTATCATGGATTAAGAAGAAAACAAACAAAATCCTGCCAAGTGGTCTTTGAATGGGTACTCACCAGGATTATATCCTTGTTTCTTTTTGTGTAAGACTAGATTCAGCCAGGAGGATAACAAATAGTATTTATGGCAAGTTTGGTTTTGGCATTAAGGTCTCACTATGCAGAGAATATATGTTGCCACCTACTTGTCACTAATGCAGTCAGAAAATGAAAGTGTTTCTGTTCCCATCTCTGACATTGTTTAGTTTGGTGAGCTTGTCAAGTTACTTCCTACCTTTACCCCAGGTCCCTCAGTGACAAAATGAAGTGACTTAGGTAAGCCCTAGGTTGTAGCAATTCTCAACTTTGGCTTCCATTAGGGCAATCTAGGGGTCTTTAAAAATTCTTGATGAATTGAGTGTGAGTGTCATCCAATAGTTTTCAGTGGACCAGACCTGCACACAGCCTGGGTGTTCACCGTGTTTGAAGCTCTCTAGTGACTCTGACAAGCAGGCCAGATGATTGAGAATAGATTTCTTAGCAATGATTTGTACAGTACCATCCTCACACCAACAGCTTTAGCCAAGAACTTGTTAGAAATGTAAATACTCACATTTCATCCCAGACCAAGTGAACGGGGAACTCAGATGACAGATATAAAATCTGTTTCAACACATACTTGAGGTGATTCTGATGTGCACAGTACTTTAAGAATCATTGAAATTACTAGGATATGTAACAATTACAGTGTAAGGCTAGAACTAGGGGAAGCATGGAGATAAAAAGTATCCATCCCCCAGTTGAAATTTATGTTTAGAAAATTGGAAGAAAGCCACTAGTTTCTACTTTAATGCCATGTGCTTTCTGAAAAGAAAAAAAAACCATTGATTTAAAACTTCACAGTATTAAATGTTTTGAACTAAAAATGGCTGTCTTCATTTCTATGAAAACACATGAATGAGATTTTAGGAGTTAGGATTTGGATCACTTTTGCTCCACCTAAGAGAGCAAATTAATAACTACAAGAGTTAAAGGCTGAGTTCTCTGCCAGAGAGTGTCTAACCCAAACAGAAAGCCACAAGAACTATATCTTTTCTAATTAGCTTTCTAGAGGAGCTTCTGGAATATACCAACCAATCGTGACACAAAAAGAGCTGAGCCATCATTAACTAGGTATTTTCTTCTTTCCACTTAGCCAGGGGCAATCGAGACTGCCATGGAAGATTTGAAAGGCCGTATAGCTGAGACATCTGAAGAAACCATTCAAGGATTCTGGCTTTTGACAGAGTGAGTAGTGATGGCCCAATGAAGGTCAGAGCATGTTCCTTGATGTTAGTGTAGTATGATGGGAGACAGGTCTGTGGTAGAACATTTTCTGGTTGATTTACAAAAATATGTGGCTGAATTATGCAGTTAGGGAGTCAAGTTTCCTGGTGTGATCAAATTTGACTCCTACAACTCTTCTGTGGCCTGAGCTACTCACTACCCATTGCTTCCCCCACCTTGTGTCAGGTCTGTATTATTGACCTCAAAGACTTTTATTAGCTTCCTAACTCTCTGGTTTCAGTCTCTTTCCATTAAAAACACTCTACCTTTTAGCACACTGAGCTACTAGTTGTGCTGTTATGAGCTCAATGCAAATGGATTATAGGAAAGAGGATATATGAAGTCAGAATCAAAATTTTGCATAACAGTTTATATACAAGTATATAAGCAATAAAACTGGGATGCTAAGCAGTGTAGGAAAAATAACACACTTGTCAAGGATTAGGATACAAACCAACCCTAACTTGTAAGGTATTATTGCTTTAATCATTGTTAGTGTCTGTCCCTAAGATTTCGTTTCTGTTACTCCCAGAAGTCTATTGTCCAGGTGACTTTCCATCCTTTCTTCATCCAACAGGCTAATATTAGTTGTTACCCAATTTTTATGATGAGTAAAATGCTCACATAATAAGAAAAGGGGATCCCTCTTTTTTCCTGCAGAATCATACTAGTAATTAGGAAATGCAATTTAATTAGAATACCTGCTTCAGATATTTAATGGTGTTATGTTCTGACTGCTGGCTTTGTATCTAGTCACTAAAGGATGGAATGGAGTTTGATGATCACTAACCTCTAGTGAAGGCTCATTTCATCTTTCACTCCTGGGCAGGATAGCTTGGACTGTATTTCAAACATTGATTGTGTTTAATCATCCAGACCAGCATCACGAATTCCTCAGTCAATTGGATCTAAACGCAATTCACTTTGATTATTGTTTCAAATAGGTTTCAAGAATTGAGTGAAAATTAATTTTTAAAACCAATCTGTCATTTTTGAGCCTTTCTTTTTAAGTATACATACAAAGAGTTCTTGAAATGACTAAAAAGCAATACAGGTAAAATTTTTATTGAAGTATACAGCACATAGTGGATTTTCCTGTGTTTCATGTCCATTCACAAGAATTAAATATTGGTAAAAGGCTTTATGTTGTGTTCAGAGATGATTGCTTCTGCATTCATTTCCATCCTCCGTTACTTTTCATGTACTGAAAGTCTGAGCGTGGGTAGATGTTTGGCCCCAAGGTTAAGTTGTTGCTTGGGATACCTACAAGCAGGGAGCTGGATAGGAAACAGGGCCACCAGGATACAAACTGGTGCCCAAATGGGTTCCTGGCACATTCAAGGTGAGGACTTTAGCTAGTAGGCTACCACACAGGGCCCAATGCATTTCACTTATAAGGAAGTTTAGTTGTGGCTGTTTTTGAGTTCTCAATCAATAGTGACAGCAGTCCCTTAATATTGCATATGTTAATTGTTTCATGGCATTTTTATTGAAATGTTCCTTTCTAGTTATTTAATTGGTCAGTGATTATAAAAACTTGTAAATTTTCCAGACATAAATCAGAAGGTGTAATCTGTATTGATATTTAGTGACATAATTCTTTGTGGTTAATTTAACAACTAAAAAAATAGGTAAAACAAGTATTTCTCAGGTGAATATGAATAGTTGCACTCACAAACACTCAAGCTTTGAAGCTAGGTCTGAAATGGATAGGAAGCATGGATATTCCTGTCTCTTCTGTTTCATAGAATCTACCTAGGTTGTCTAGGACTTATAGACAAGCTCCTCTAATGCTACCAGCCATACTTCATGTGGTTTATTTATGTGTGGGTCCAAAATGACCCAGCTTCCTGTATGGTGAGCTTAGCTCCTTCCAAGGAGGTGAGACACACTCATAGGTATACCTGATAATCTGAAACATGTTTGCATTCAGTCAGATATTCTAGGCCCAGGATGAGAATACTAGTTTTTTAAATGTATATATCACAAGATATTTTCACATTCATGAACTTGCTTTATCTTTATGACAATGTTGCTAGTTCCATGTTTATATGAATACTATGAACGAAAAATGGACTAAACTCCTCAACTTAAAGATACAGACTGGCTGGATAAAAAAAGTCAAGCTCTAAGGATTTTTTTAACTTTAAAGTCCAGATGTTTCAATTATAAAATAGTTCACAGCAGTGAATAATACACAAGTAAGAGCCAAGTGATTAAGGGTGGCTGAATACATATATATATATTTTTAATTAATTTTTTTCTTTCTATGATATGGTTTAATAGGTATGGGTATTCCCACTACCCTACTGTTTCCTCCCTCCACATTTTCTCCCCCCTGCCATTTTCCCTCATATTATAATAATATAGTCCTTCAGCAAGTCACAAGTCCAACATTCTGATATTTATATGTAGCATTGCATTGTAGGTATAGATAATGGTAGAAAACCCAGCGTCCTATTGTCAAGATATATTTAACAGTTTTATTGGAAGTCCTCCTTGTATTTTGGAGTAGAGATGCATACCACAATGTATCTTGGTATTCTAGTTTCCATTACACAGGTTCTCTAGATGACATATATATATACACACACATATATATATATATACACACATATATATATACATATATATATGTATATGTATATACATATATACATATATATGTATATATACATATATACATATATGTGTGTATATATATACATATATGTATATATATATATACACATATATATATTCTTTTTGGATTTTTTCTTGTATTTTGCATGAAGATTGCCTTACATCAGGAAAAAAACATGATATTTGTACTTTGAGGTTGACTTGTTTCACTGAACATAATGGTCTCTTTTTGGGACCATTTTGTTGCAAATGATAGAATTCATTCTTTTTACATCAGGAAAAAAACATGATATTTGTACTTTGAGGTTGACTTGTTTCACTGAACATAATGGTCTCTTTTTGGGACCATTTTGTTGCAAATGATAGAATTCATTCTTTTTATTCACTGAGTAGTATTCCTCAGAGTAGATGGAGTGAAGTTTCTTTATCCATTGCTCTTTTGATGGGCATCTGTGTTGTTTCTATACCTTTGTTACTGTGGATTTAGTGCTATAAATGTACAGTTGAAGTTTGCTTTTTCATATGCAGATTATACTTCCTTTGAATATATTTCTAGCAGTGGGATAGCTGGGTCATATGGTAGATCAGGTTTCATTTGCATTAGCTCTTTGCATACTGACTTCCGTAGTGGGTGCACTAATCTACACTCCCATCAACAATAGATATTTCTTCTCCAAATTTATTATTATTATATTTCTTGTCCAACAATAGATATTTCTTGTCCAAAATTTACTTTTCCACTAGAGACACACAAGGAAAGTTAGAGGATGGCAATATATATTCTATGCAAATGAAAACAAAAAAAATGAGTAGAACAGCTATTTTGATACCACACAAAATAGATGTAAAAACACAAACTCCAAAAGGTACAGAGATGATCATTGCATAATGAGGAAGGGATCATTTCAAAAAAGTTTGATGATTGTAACTGTGTGTATATCAGATGTTTGAGCACCCAATTATCTAAAATGATACTTCAGCACTCTACTTTTATCAATGGACAAATCATACAAGCAAAAAGAAAGAACAAATATCAGAAAAAGATTTTTGTACAAGATCAATTGGGCCTGGCAGATATTTTTTGGAACAATTCATCCAACAGCTGGATAGTTTACATTCTTCACATAGGCACACAAAGATTTCTCAAAGATAAACTGCACATCAGACCACAAAACAAATGGTAGCAAATATTAAAAGAATCTGAAATTTATCATATATATTTCTCACCATGATGAAATGAGATCAGAATGAAAAACATAAATTTTGGAAATATAAACAAGTCTATAGAGAGTGAATAATGCATTCCTGAATGAATAAAGCAAAAACACTTGTTCAAACAATTGTAACATAAATTTAAATATTCCTTGAAGCAAGTGAAAGTGAATACATAACATGCCAAGAACTATGAAATACAGCAAGAGCAGGTCTAAGAGGGACATTTATAGCAATAAGCATTGACATCAAACAAAAAAGACAGTGATATCAAATAACCTACCAATGCATGTTAGAGTCTTGGAAAGAAAAAAACTAAACCCAAAATTTGTACAAGCAAAGAAAAAAATAGAGAACTAAATGAAGTTGAAACTAAGAAATCAATGCAAAAAGATTAATGAAAATAATTGATTTTTTAAAAGACAAAAGTTAGGGCCCTGCACAATATCCTTGCTGCTAAATTCTTTTCCTTGAACATGCCAGGATCCCAAAAGAGTGCCAATTCATATTCTGGCAGCCCCGCTTCCCATCTACCTTCCTGCTTCTGGCCTGGGAAAATCAGTCAAGGACAGCCCAAAGCTTTGGGACCCTGCACCCATGTGGGAGACCTGGAAGAAGCTCCTGACTCCTGGCTTTGGATTGGCTGTTGCGGTCACTTGGGGAGTGAACCAGTGGATGGAAGATCTTTCTGTTTCTCCTCCTCTCCTCTCTTTCTATTAAAAATAAGTAAATCTTAAGAAAGACGAAAGTTAAAAAAACCTTTAGCTAGACAAAGAAATAATAAGGGAAGACTCAAAATAATAGAACTTGAGTCTCACTGTTTGAGATTATTTTATTTGAAAGCAAAATGGAGAAAGAGCCATATCTCATCTCTTTATCTCTCTCTTCTGTAACCCTGACTTTTAAATATTTTTATTAAAATAAAATTCTAAAAGAGCTTTATACACATAATCATACGTGATCCTCCCCGAAATCATGCTATTCGTCTTTTACTGATTGTTGAGTTTTGGAACAAAGGGATATGAGCTATCCAAGAACATCCACATGGAGATCACGAGTGAGTAACTCTACTATGGATCAAGATATTCTCTTTCAAAGTAGTTTTTCAAAAGGTACAATGATTCCAA